GATTTTGGTCTGTGTTCCTTTCTGATATTGGAACAATGAAAAGGGTGGGGAAGGAATTTAATCATCCCCATGACTCAGGAGTCCAGTCAGATATTGCAGTTTTTAAATGAAGAGCAGCTTCATTAATTTGATGCCAACCCCAGTGGGCCTTATCACAGGACTGTTGCACAATGTTGTGACCTTCTGTTCAAGAGAGGCTGGACTATAAGGGGTGGAGAGTGTTGCAGGCTGGGATTGGTCTCCTTCTGGCTTGGGGCTTGGGGAGGAGTACAGTGCAGAACAGCCAGGGCTGCTGCAGGCAGGAAGCTTGCGCCACCTTTGCTTGCACTGTCTTGGGCCCTGCCAGTGCCATCAGTCCTTCATGTCTGAGTACCAAAAGTTCAGGTGAATACTAGGAACAAAAATGTTTCTTCCTATAAGCATATTGTGAGTGGTGATCGGGCTGCCTCTGCTTGGTCTGCAGTTCTCTTCTCTAGGATTGTGGTTCTCTGGTCACCGACCCGTCTTTAGCTGAGATGAGATTATTTTAATGACTGTGTATATACAAGGCGTTTGTGTGTGTATGTACAGGACGCATGCACCCACTGGTTGGGTGTGCTTGTAAATATGTATGTGGGTGTAAATATTTGTATATAGGAAGATATGAGATAATACGAGTTGTATATACAAAAATTATATATACACACAGACGCCAATCGGGATGCATTCCAGGAGGGTGTTCTAGAAGCATCATTCAGGATGCTGTAGTTAGGGTTGTGGCTGTATTCCCATGGTAATCCTCTATTTTCAGGGGCTCATATTTGGTTCTGTGAAATTGTTTGCGGCTGAAACTAGGTATAGGAGGCCTCATCTAGTCATCAGGGGCTTTTCTTTTATAAATTAAAATATTCCAGTTTTCATTGAGGGGACAGTAACATTGTGAAACGAACCCATATTTCTTGCTGCAGTGATAATCTACCCTCCTCAAAGTGCAGGAGGTCCCAATTGCTACAGCTCAGGATGGTTTAACAGTTAACGCTGTTATTTCTTTCATTATAACTTTCATGGAGCGTGCTTTGTCCTGGGACATATGCTAGGGAAACTGTAGGAGTAGGAAGATCTTCATAGTCGCAGGACAATGAAGAGCAGTATCCATGCTGCCCTGTCCCTTATGTTTGTAAGTTAACTGGGGGGAGAATCTCGCTCTTGTCCAGCTCATTTCCTTGTATCTGAGAAAAGCATGCTCTTCTGGACCTTAGGGAATGCCCCATTTGTGTCCTTGTGAACTCATGTGGAATGTCTTGGAAGCTGACTGGAGAAGCCCTGGCAGAACAAACTTGTCTCCTGCTCAGCCAGGATGAAAGGTAGAGTTTGCATATGGTGCATTTCTCCGATTCCTAAGCCTATCTCTGTACTGTCAAACAGTGTGATACAGTTGGTCTTATTGCCCCATTTAGCTGGAGTCTGTTATGGGTCTGGTCAGATGGGAGCACCCATACAAAAGTGGTAGAAGAGGCTTGTGAAGAAAACAAGAGAGCTTGGAGGTTGGATCAAGATCCAAACATGTTAGTAGCACTGACTGAATCCAGAAAATCAATAATGTGCTTATAAAGAAGACCTTGTTCTCTTCCTGACTATTCTGTCACGTGATTACTTTGTTCAGAATATTTGCTGTTAAGGAAACTTGAAAACAGGGATTTTCAAGACATGAGCTTCACTTCTTTTGTCTCTCTGAGGATTGTATTTGTAAAAAGATAAATACATAAAATAATACCCCATATCTGCTATAGACAAGATCACAAGGGATCTCTTATTTTTTCCAACAAAATCAGCAGTATTCAAGACCAGAGGATTAGAATTCTTTTTCCACTTTGTACTAAGTCATCATCAACATGTGTATGTACTATATGCATATGTATGTGTCTGTAGATACCGTTCTCTGCATACACAGCAGGTTTGTACATATCAGAAAAGTGTTTCTCCATTGGTTTCATATTCAGCAATCCTCAGTTTAGAAGTGGATAGCAGTGATAGATAGATCTGGAGGGGGAGTGGAGCCCCTATTTTCAGATACAAATGGGTATTCAGTGTCAGGCACCCAGAAATGGGTGTTTTCCTTACAACAGTAAATGTGACTTGAATTAAAACCAATAGGTAGGTCAAGTTCATGAGGGACGGGGAAATATGCAAACCTGACTAAGTGCCTGCTTGGCAGACTTCTGCCATAGGTCCTGCCTTCCGCTCATGGTAATATAGCAGGCCTGATCAAATAAACCTTTACTGCCATTTGTGGCATCTCTCTTGCCCTGTACTCCTGTACCATTTAAGCTTTAAACCATCTGGCCAAGGTTAACACTTACTACTCTTCTTTCCCTTGGCATCTCAGATTAACAATGAAAAACAGAGCTGTGGATCTTCCTTTGGTTGTACTTAATAACCACATTCTGGCTAAAAAGGGTTTCTTGTGCAGCAGATACTAATGCTCTGTTCCATCAGAATCGGGGACGTATGACAATTGGACAGACTAGGCTGGAATGAATGCTGAGCAAGTCTCAAAACTGTTTGGCCTGATAGATTTTGGAATAATAATCTTCAGTAGATAGCAGCCACTTTCTCAGCTAAGCATGCAAAGAAATTCTTAGAGAGAGAGTGTACCAGGACCTCTCCAAGTGTCAAAGAAAGTATGAGAGTATGGGGATTTAGGATTCAGAGGAACACGCCTATTCATCTTTGGAGCTCTTACAATTATAAACTCTGTTAAAACTGCCTTTGTAAAGATGGGAAGAAAGCCTGTATTTGAATCCTACTCCATAAATGGAGAATCAAAGAGAGTCTGGGTTGCAATTGTGGTGTGATTTTTTTTTTCAGATGGTGCAACACATGGTGAACGATTGCCCAATTAGATCATTTAATGGCGGTCTAAAATCAATCCGTGCAGCCACCCCTGAAATAGTTGAATGGCTATCAAATTTGGATATTAATCTATGAATGTTGTAATCCTAAAATGTCATATGAAAGATGAAGAATCCAGAGCTCTTTATTTTGAGGGAGAAAACAGTCCAAATCTACCATCTTTTGAAGTCAGCTCCTTCCTGAAAATAACCTTTCTGAAATAGCTGTTCTCTTTTTAAGGCTTCTCTTACAAACATTCACTAGACTCTTTAATAATCTTTCTCAGCATCACACCTCACTGCTGGTAGTAATGGTCAGAGCTTTAATGCAGAACAGGCAGGACTAGGCAACATAGTTGTTCTAAATACTGGTTGATCAATAGCTATTGATACAACAGCTCCTTGAGTTGTTGTGTCAAGGGAAGCTGCACTCTTACGAAAAATACTGGCAATCTGATGGGGAAAGGTCTGTAGATGGCTAAGAGCTGTACCTGGACTGGAGCACTGCCAATCTGTAGATAAGGATGCTTCTATGGCAGAATGGGAAAGAAATACCCCAAGTGGGAATCATCCAAGTAACTAAGATCACCCACATTTCTGAATAACTTTGTAGAGGAACATTAGATCCATCTATGAAGATCTAGTGCAGGGGCTCTGGATATTGGATGTTTGAATGTGAGAGGGAACTGTGAAAAGTATATCTTTAGATTGACTTTTGCTTGCTTTTAGCATAAGCCAGTTGCCATCACTGTTCGGCTCTTTTCTCCAGAGAAGGCCTGCCTGCCTTTTAGCTATTTCTTTTTCTCCAAGCCACTTCTCTTCCCAGTTGCTGAGAGAACCTGCTGAAGACTTCTGAATTTCTAAATGGTGTTTCAGAAGAGTAAAGGAATAAATCTCTCCTCTCCTTCTTGACTTATTGCGAACTCAGTTGCCCAGATGTGTAAGTGCTTTTACTCAGATATTCTTGCTTCGCTTCGTGCTTTGAGACTTGAGCAGCTGACTTCCAATGCTACTATTTGTTCAAGTAAGGCACTGAAACAGTTTTCAGATCTAATTAGGTTGTTCCCCTGCACATATTCCTGCAGGGCTAATGAAACCTTCCGTACAAGATGAAACTGCAGAAAGGCTGTTTTGAATTTCCTGTTCAGACCATGTTACCTGCTCCCCTAATATTTGCTTACAAAAAGGGACCCTATCTGCTTTGCAGATTTCTTCCAGCCTCTTTCATTACCACTTCTCATTGAACATGGTGAAATTATTTTTTCTCCCCCCGCCCTCCCCCTCCTCTCCCCTCTCCAGGAGCAGGGCACTGCCTAATACACACAAAAGCACAAATGTGCCTCTACCTTCTCCTGTCCCTCCCCTAGGCTCCCCAAGTAATAAGCGGAAGAGATGGGGCTGGAAGAAGGCAAAATCTAAGAAACCCAGAAAGAGGATCTGTGCCTCTGGCGGCCCATCCTTGGAGGGAAGGGGAGCTTTCTGCCTCTGTTTGGAAATCTGATTATTTATCACCAAAAATAATTTTATATTGAATTGGTTTAAAGTTATTTTACAGCCATGTGCCTGTATATCATATTTTGGTAAAAACAGATATTTTACTTAAGATATAGAGAGATATATAGATGAACTTTTTGAAGCAAATGGACTTTTCTTCAAGGCATCTGTAAATCACCAAAACTGTGTAATTGCCAGAAAATATTCTGCAATTTTGGTGTCCTTGGGAGGAAAGGAGTATGTTTTTTGTGTTACCACTGAACATTTCAGGAATAAAAAAGAGCTAAGATTAAAGTGAGAATTTAATAATATTAGTTTCCACCATGATTCTTATTAGTAATTAGAATTAAGTAGTATGCAGGCCTGCTTACTGCATCCATGATCGGTTTTAAGCCTTCATCTGTGCCATTTTGCAAGCAGAATTCTAGTATGCTTTTGCTTCTGTCAGCTGGCTGTTAATGAACCACTAGCTCTCCAGATTTTGCTCTTGTTTTTGCTGTATAAAAACCTTAGGAGTTATCTCTTTTATGGCTGTTCTCAATTCTTAGTTGTCCAGTTGTAAGGTGTGTTGTATAATGAAGGTGCAAGGCATACTTAAGCTTCTGTAAACGAAAATGGCA